ACATTACCTTTACATTAAATCAAAATCACTGAAACCCTAATTTTTATTGTAATCCTCGAGTTTAATGAACAAATACAACTTCTTTTAATATGCTGTAACATTTTGCCCGTATAAGCTAAACCAAAAAAGCATAATTTAACCGTTACATTTATATCAAGTATGTTTAAGTATTAAGAAAACATTTTCTTTAGTCATAGTGCCCATGTCGATTGTACTTCCTGATCATTACTGTACTGTGTAAAGCGGATTGAAAGGCTTCGGTTTGTTTCTGGTTGTCATCAATTTTTCGTAAGCTTTTTTTAAGCACTGTTTCTGATACTTAGATATGCAGAATTTGGCGGTTAAGTCAGTTCCTACAGTTTAAAGGATGGTATTTTTGGATCGAGTTTCTTAATGTTTGATTTTATTTCTGTATAAGTTTTAAGATTCGTACACTAATAGAAATCGTATTGGCACAGTCTAGTTAGTACAGCCTAAGACATCTTGGCTGGAGAACGAAGTGACGGCCCGAGCTTCATCGTGTATCTGCTAAGTCTTTTTCATAGTGTAATTTAGCTTTTGGCATTAGGCCTTTTAGCTTTAGGTGGATGATTACTTGTCTTCGTATTTCAGATCCAGATTCATAACCTTCCTTAAATCTAGCTCTTGTGAAGTTTCTGACCCTCTTTATAAAATACTTGTTCATTTTAGTACATTTTCATGTAACGGTTTCAGCGAGAGTTGATGATAAGTTCCGTGAAACGGCGCAGTTGAACTGTGGCGAGCTTCAGCAGTTCCGTTTGTGCCATGATATTTGGTAAACCACTGTAAAATTAATGTGTGGGGTAATCTGCGTTGTAAAATCTGTCTTCATATAGTCTGAATATAAGCTGTGAAGATAATGCTGAAATCGTTTAATTCAAATAGTGTCCTAGTTTTCTTTAATAAAAAGATTCTTAAAATATAAAATTACCTATAAGTAACTCATAAGTTGTCGTTAAACTGCAAATTAAACTTGATACTGGTACGGTTCTGTTCATTTTAAACGTAACAAGTTTAAGAAACCTGTCTGTCTAGCAGCTTTGTTTAGC